AGCTGTGATGCCACGGCACTCTACCCAGGGGGACAGCTGGAGGCTCTGTCTCAAAAAAAAAAAAAAAAGTCATGGAAGGTGGGGGGAGTAATCAGTGGCTATTCACTCTGGAGAAGGAAGAAGAGGGTATGGGTAAAAAGGAGCCAGTAGACATTCCACAGATGGGCAATTGAAAGCCTGGAGAAGGCAATTAACCTGTCAAAAAGCAACAAGATGATTAAGTCTAGAAGCAACTTTGTCACTCGGTAGTCCAGCCAGTTAGAGCAGTCATTGTCATCACAGATCAATATGGATGGGAAAAACCAGTTGACGACAGATATGATAGACAAAGATACAGGTGTAAGGACCATGTTGGAGCAGAAAGACCTAGACCTGAGGGCAGGAACTAGCCTGAGCCACATTCTAAGATGCCCTTCCTTGGCCACCCTTGAGTTGGAACCCGCCAATGACCAGCAAGAGGACAGGCAATTAAGTATAGCTCAACCTACTCTGTGAAATATGATTTACAGCTAGTAATACAGAGAAACACAAATTTTCGATAAGGAACATATACCTTTTTATAAATTGGGATATAGCCAGGTGCAGTGGCTGACATCTGTAATCCTAATGCTCTGGGAGGCTGAGGTGGGAGGATTACTTGACTTCAGGAGTTCAAGACCAGCCTGAGCAAAATCAAGACCCCATCACTTGAACTCAGGAATTTGAGGTTACTGTGAGCTAGGGTAGGGTAAGACAGTGAGACTCTGTCTTAAAAAATAATGAGGGAGGCTTAGTGCCTGTGGCTCAAGTGGCTAAGGCACCAGCCACATACACCTAAGGTGACGGGTTCGAATCCAGCCCCGGCCCGCCAAACAACAATGATGGCTGCAACCAAAAAATAGCCAGGCGTTGTGGTGGGCGCCTGTGGTCCCAGCTACTTGGGAGGCTAAGGCAGGAGACTTGCTTGAGCTCAGGAGTTGGAGGTTGCTGTGAGCTGTGATGCCATGGTACTCTACCCAGGGGGATAGCTTGAGGCTCTGTCTCAAAAAAAAAAAAAATAATAATAATAATAAGGGAGGCTGGGTGCTCGTAACTCAATGGTTAGAGCACTAGCCCCATGCACCAGGACTGGCAGGTTTGAACCTGGCTGGGGCCTGTTAAACAAACAAACAAACAAAAAATTAAAATAAAAGGTAGATTATTTATTTATTTTTAAGAAATGGGGTCTCCCTCTTGCACAGGCTGGTCTCAAACTCCTGAGCTCCAGCAATATACCTGCCTTGGCCTCTCAGAGTGCTGGGATTACAGGAGTGAGCCACCAAGCCCAGCTTGGGAGATAATTTTTTGTTGCTTGGTATAAGCTGTTAAACAAAAAGAAAAATCACGTGTTAACTAAAATATGCTCATGTTTGAATAAATGAGTAAACTAAGTGAAATGAATAGGGAAGAAAATGACAACAGATTTTGTTTTTATAAAATTATATTATCTGCTGTGGTGATTAGTACACAGAAAAAAGACAGGAAGAAAGTATCTGACAATAAAAGCAGGTAGTGTTACGGATAATTTCTATTTTCTTTTTTTTTGCAGTTTTTGGCCGGGGCTGGGTTTGAACCCACCACCTCCGGCATATGGGGCTGGCACCCTACTCCTTTGAGCCACAGGTACCACCCTATTTTCTTCTTTTTGTTATTTGTGTTTTCTAAATTTTCTTTCTTTTTTTTTTTTTTTGAGACCGAGCCTCAAGCTATCCCCCTAGGTAGAGTGCCGTGGTATCATAGCTCACAGCAACCTCCAACTCCTGGGCTCAAGTGAGTCTCCTGCCTCCACCTCCCAAGTAGCTGGGATTACAGGCACCCGCCACAACGCCCGGCTATTTTTTGGTTGCAGCCATCATTGTTGTTTAGTGGGCCTGGGCTGTATTCAAACCCACCAGCTCAGGTGTACGTGGCTGGAGCCTTAGCCACTTGAGCCACAGGCGCTGAGCCTCTAAATTTTCTAAAAATCAGGGTGTTTCTCTTTAAAAACACCAAACATATTTTTTAAATGAAATTACAATTATAATTTCAACTTTAAAAAGTGACTTTAAAAAAGTGGACAATTTGGAAAAATCTTTTTTTCTTAATTCTTTGGAGGTTGCTACAAGCTGTGATGCCATGGTACTCTACTGAGGGTGATAAAGTGTGACTCTGTCGCTAAGAAAGAAAAACAAAAACAAAATAAGTTAATTGGGCCAGGTGCTATGGCTCATGCTGATAATCCCAGCACTTAGGGAGGCTGAGACAAGAGGATCATCACTTTAGCCCAGGAGTTTAAGACTAGCTTGACAATATAGGTAGACACCATCTCTACAAAAGACAAAAAGAGGGGCGGGGCCTGTGGCTCAAAGGAGTTGGGTGCCGACCCCATATACTGGAGGTGGTGGGTTCAAACCCGGCCCCAGCCAAAAGCTGCAAAAAAAAAAAAAAAAAAGAAAAGAAAAATTAGCCAAGAGTGGTGGCCAGTGCCTGTAGTCCCTGTAGTCCCAGCTACTTGGAAGGCTGAGGCAGAAAGATCCCTTGAGCCCTGGAGTTTCAGGTTGAAGTGAGTGATGATGACACCACTGCAAACTAGCTCAGGCAAAGTCTCCTGGCTAAAAAAAAAGTTAATTGTTCTATGTATATCTTTGACAACCAATTTCACATCTAGGATTTATCTACAAGGACTTATGTATAAGACTAGTAAGTGAACTTGATGTAACAGTAAAAAGCTGTGAACAACCTTAATGTCCAACAATAGGAAAATAATTGAATAATTATAATACATCCATAATAAAATACCATGCAGTGGTTAACAAGCATAAAGGATCTACTCATACTTATAGGAAAGGTGGGTCAGGCTGGGCATGATGACTCAAGCCTATAATCCTAGCACTCTGGAAGGCCAAGGTAGGTAGATCACTTGAGCCTATGAGTTCAAGGCCCTGTCTCTACTAAAAATAGAAAAATTAGCCTGGTATTGTAGCAGGCACCTGTAGTCCCAGCTATTTGGGAGGCTGAAGCAAGAGAATCTCTTAAGCCCAAGATTTTGAGGCTGCTGTGAACTAAGATGCCATAGCACTCTACCTAGGACAACAGAGAGTCTGTCTTTAAAAAAAAAAAAAGGTGATTCCCACTAGATTGTTAGGTGAAAAAAGAAAATTGCAGAATGTCAAATATGATCCTGTCAATTTAAAAAAAAAATTTATTTATTTATTTATCTTAGACACAGAGTCTCATTTTGTTGCCCTTGGTAGAGTGCTATGACGTCACAGCTCACAGCAACCTTCAACTCTGGGGCTTAAGACGATTCCCTTTCCTCAGCCTCCCGAGTAGCTGGAACTATAGACACCCGCCACAATGCCTGGCTATTTGTTTTTTGTTGTTGTTGCAGTTTGGCCAGGGCCAGGTTTGAACCCACCACCCTCAGTATATGGGGCTGGCGCCCTACTCACTGAGCCACAGGTGCCGCCCTAAAAAAAAATTTAAATCAGAAAAGATTTAATAAGCAATGAGATAAAAATGTAATTTATCACATTGTACTATGAAGAAACAACCACTAGTAAATAACATTTAGTGTAGAGTCTTCCACACATTTTCCATGCATGCACGTTTTAAAAAAGGAACACAACAAAGATTCTCATTGGTAACCAGCTTTTTTTTCTTTCGGTACAGTTTGAATATTTTTCATGGCAATAAAATAGCTATTGTAATATTTAATAGCTGCATATCTTATGACTTAGATCTAGTAAAAAAAATTAAAAAGAAAAAGGCCAGGTGAGGTGGCTCACACTTATAACCCCAGCACTTTGGGGAGGCTTAGGTGAAAGGATCATTTAAGGCTAGGAGTTTGAGACCCAGCCTGGGTAACATAACAAGACAACTGTGAGCCCAGAGTAAAGACTTGTGGTACACGCATTCCTAGGGAGATGGGACATGTGCTCACCTGATGCCAAAGACACAGTGGATGTAGTTCCAGATGGCCCTTCGGAGCATGGAGGTGTCCACACCGCTGTGCATGGCCATGGTGTTGTAGGTGAGGCTATAGGCTGCCTGGAACTTCTCGTCCAACAGCTGCCCACCCTCAGGATAGAGCCTCTGGATCAATGAATAGCCATGGTCTTCCCAGGTATAATCCTTAGGAACATGGGAAGAGGTTGGTGAGCAAACCCTTTGGAGCCCAAGGTCAAAGAGACCCTGTCCTCAGGAGTACACCCTGACTTTCCATAATGCTCCCTCCCTACACCACACATCTAACATGCTGCTTGCTCCGGGCCTCAGAAGCCAAGGAAGATGCACCTTGGTGATGACCTCCTCCCTGTGATCAGGACCCCCTGAGTTTAGGGTACAGATGGGTCCTTTTAGGATTCACAGAAGCCCTGCTGCCCTCATGGAATCTTGAGGAAAAGAAGATACCCAGCTCTAGAACCATTCATCTATCCCCTGCTTATTCATAAATCTGGAGCAACAGCCAACACTAGTGAAGACAGACCTACCTGGGCACGGAAGGTTGGGGGCGCCTGAGTCCCTCGCCGGGTGAAGTCCTCATATCCAAAAGTGGGGTCTTCCACAAAGCACAGCATGTCTGGGTGTGGAGTGGGTTCCAGGATGTCAGCTGAGGACCAGAAAGAAGTCACAGTGAAGCTGAGGTACAGAGTACCTGATCAGAAAGGGACGGTGAGTGGGAGCAGGGCTTCAGCTAACACCCAGCCTGAGGAACGGGGTGGATCAGGCCATGGACCTAGGAGGCGAGGCCCCTAGTATAGTAACAGTCATTTATGCAGCTGCTTGCCCTGAGACAGGCTCTGTGCTAAGAGCCAAGCTTCTGTTGTCCTGTTTGTGTCCTGTGTGTATCCCACAGACCAACTGGAAGCCCTGAGACAGAAAGTGACTTGTCAGTGGTCACAAAGCCAGAAAGGCTAACAGGCCAGGATTCAAAGGTAGGTTTGAGCCCAAAGCCCAAGTTTGGAACCTCTTGGAAGAGAAGTTGAGAGGTGGCTGCCTATGGAATATAGGAGGTATGGTGCACAGAAGGGGCTGCTCCACCACCAGAGAAGTGGTAAGAAGTGGGTGGACCCTGGAGCCTGGATGACCATGATTCTGTACCTGAGGGGGTTACCAGCAGGCTCTCTGACTTCTCAATCTCAAAGCGGTTTTCCATCTCCTCCTGGGATGCTCCCTCGTCCCGCAGCAAGCTCTCCTGCAGCTGCCTCATGCGTTCCATCAGGGCCTCCACGTCGCGGGCAGCCTCAAAGCCCTGAGGAGGGGCCCAGGGGTGACCATCTATTCCTCCTCCCCCGGCATCTGGCAAACCCCACACATCCTTCCCACATGCCAGGCCTTCCTGAATAATCAAAAAGGCCTAGTGCAGCCTCTGTGCCAGCCATTGTGTGGCCAGTTCACATGATCTGTGTTTGCCAAAGTAAAATTTATGAAGCTACAATATAGACACATCTTCCCTGAGCATCAACTTCTCTCATTGGTAAGGAACTTTGTAAAGTATGTGTATTTTTGTCTTAAAAAAAAAAAAAAA